ACAGGTCCATTATCTCCAAATACCTGGTTTGTGGCAGCTGTGCTTTGGAGAGAGCTGGGACACAGGCGATGCCCTCCTCTGCTTCCCAGCTGCATTCCAGACTGGGGGGCAGCACTTCTGCACCAGGAAGGAACTAGGGGGATCTTTTCTTGCTTGCTGCCAGGCTTCATTTTGGGTTAAATCTTGGTTGATTTTGTTTTCCGATGAAATCTCTCTGTGGCGTTTGTCACGTCAGCTGGGGCGCTGGCACCTCCAAAGGATGTGCTGAGGTCGTGTTTGGCAGCAGCCCCCAGTACCCAGTGCCACCCCAGCTACATCTGGAGCCCCGTGCCTGCAGTAACAGCCTCCTCTGCTCTCTCCTCAGGATCGACAAGACAATGCTGGCCAGCCTGAAGATCAAGTGAGTACCTGGCTCTTCCCTTGCCGTGATTTCCTGTGGGGTTGGCGCTGGGCTGGCTCGGCGTGTGGGGGAAGCTCTCCTGGGAGCTGGGCTCCAGCTGGTGCAGTGGAGTCCAGCCATGTCCGCCCACTCCAGGACACGCGTTGGTGCCCGTCCCACAGTCTGTTCTCCTGGAGGCCTGCAGTGAATCAGGCACTGGGAGATTGCAGCAAGCACGGTGACACGAGTGCTGTGAGATCAGTGGGCTGAGGGGTGCACGGGGCAACCCACAGGGCACCAGCTCTGCCTCGGGGGTGGGAATCAGCAGGTCAGGCTGGCACTGAGCTTCTGGGTGGAAATCCAGTGAAGTGTGGAGGTTTTGTATTTTGTTTTTCCATCTGGAGAGGTGATGTCAGTGCAACAGTGAGTGCTGGTGACCCAGCTCCTCTCCTGTGCTGCTGACGGGCTCTGGGCACTGCTCTGGAGGGGGTGGAGATGCTGCTGGGGTCCAGGAAAGCCGGTGGACTGGCAGTGTTCCTTGGTGGCTCCATCATGGATTTGCCACTTGCTGGACACTGGTGGGTGGTGTGGCTTGTGCAGCTCTGGTGGTTGCTGGGCCACGTCCTGTGCTGTGATGGAGTGAGCCGTGTGAAGTCACCATGCATGCTGGGGAATGCCCTCGGCTGATGGGGAAGAGAAGGTGGGGAAGGTCTGGGAGTGGTGGCACCGATGCTCTCTGCTCCCCCAGCACTCCTGGCTGTCTGGGACCTGCCTCCTGTTCCCACCAGCCTTGTTCCCCTGGCTGCACATCCTGGGTACTGATCCCTTCCCTCCCAGTGTAGTGCATCCTCTCCTCTCCTGGATTCTGCATTCCTGGAACCCCGGCTTGGGGTTCCCCCTTGTGAGCACACGTGCAGCTCCAGTGCTGCCAGCTGCACCCTGTGCTGATGCAGAAATGTTCTGGCCAAGCCTTCCCTGGGCTCCAGGCAATGCACAGGGTGATGGCTCATGCGGTTTCCCTCTATAATCATTGTGCAAATTATTCATTAATGGAAAAGTATCCGGAAAGCCTGGGGGAGCTGCTGCCTGAGCGAGCCCAATGCCCGTTGTAAATGGCACAGCAGAATCGCTGGCACTACGCTCACTGCTCAGGTTGTGCTCAACTAATGAGAAGTTTAAATCAATGCTTGCCAGTTTGGGGAGTGCAGGGAATTCTCTGCAGACTTTCCTTTTTCCGTGAAGCTGAGAAGGACTGAGCTGCTCGTTGCACTCTGCTGTACACCGTGCCCTGATTTTTTTCGAGGGCTGCTGCAGCAGAGCCCCCCTGTACCCCCCTCTCTCCGCCGTGCCAGGCAGCCCGGAATGCTGTGCCAGTGCTGCGGGCACGCTGCCATGCTCCTGCTGCCTGGGCAGGCCGAGGACTGGCGCCACGCTTCTGCCTCTCTCTCTGCTTTCCTGCCCTGGCCAAAGGAGGGAGTTTCCTTGGAGTTTTTGATGACATCCACTGCTGTTTGCAGCGAATGCTTCCCACAGCCCCGCGGTGCTTCTGCTCTGTGGGTAGGCTGCTTCATTAAGTGGTTCTGTAATTGGGGCTTCGCCAGAGCCACGTTTCACATTTGTAAAAGCTTTTAAAATTATAAAAACATCATAAACCCAAACTTTTGGGGTTTTAGCGCCCTCTTGTTATTGCCGCAGCCTCTGTCGGAGTGTCCTGGTTTAACCCGTGGCACAGAGGCACCAGGCACTGGAAGTTTTCTTTCCCTGTATAAGTTACTACCGAAAATCGGAGCCGCTTTCCGCATTCCCTGGAGCAGCTCAGGGAGCCTCGTGCTGTGCAGACACCAGCAGTGCTCGGCAGAGGCAGCGAGCCCGGCCCCGGGGCACCTGGCCGGGGCGGGAGGGTGAGGGATGCAGGGCGAGCCCGCACGCAGTCAGGGTAAACTCACCCCCGCAGGTGGCACTGGGGCATCACAGCAGCTCTCCCTCTGCCCGCCTCTCCGTTTTCTTCCTCAGCTCGGGTTTCGTTGGTTCCTATGGTAACCGCGGATGTGTCTGAGGGACCGGAGAGCGGGAGCAGGCGCTGCGGAGGGGCAGCGTCGGGACAGGCGATGGGGGGAGCGCTGGCAGGGCCAGCTGAGCCCGCTGGCGACAGGCAAAGGTGCCAGGGCTGCAGGAGGGCTCGGGCATTCCCGCGCAGCTCTGGAGCCCGGCTCTGGCTCTGCCCCCGGGAGCTGCGCCACGCCCGTGCCTGCCGGGCACAGGAACCCGGGAGCCCCAGCCAGGAGCTGCTGTGCCCTGGGCCACGCTGGGGTTGAGTGCCCCGGCCCCGGGCCAGCCCTGGCTCTGGAGCCCCTGTCCTGCAGGAGGAGGCTGAGCTCTGGGCGAGGACTGAGACCTGCACCTGCCCAGAGGAGTCTCTGGGCGATGGAGGGTCTGGGAGAGGCCTGGGGATACTCTGCTGAGTGTTTTTGGGGTGCACGTCCCCAGGGGTGGCGGCAGGCACTGGTGCTGCTGTGCTCGGGTGCTGCGGCTCTTGAGAGCTGCTGGGACTGGGGCTGTGGGATGGAGACTGAGACACTTGGGCAGTAAATGGGATTTGGCATTTGCAGACCCTGGGTTTGGTTTGGACCAATTCCATTGTGATCCCTACTTTTCTGTTACATTTTGTTATTCCTTACCCACTTCAGGGGAAAGCACTTGGAGCTGCTGAATCCCCTGGGCTGGCAGAAGGGGAGTCGTGTCCAGAAGCAGCTCCCCAGCCTTGGCTTGGTGTTGGTGTTTTCTTGTGTCACATGAAGTCTCTGTAGGGAGCTGGAAGTGTCTCCAGGCTCCTGGGGTCCCCTTGGCTCTCCTGGGAGCACAGCTCCATGCAGTCCTGGTCAAACGTGGGGTGTTTGAGGTCAGGTTGTGCTGCCAGGAAGGGAAGACCTGAGCCAGATGGCAGCTAAGCTGCTTCCCTGGTGGGAAGGTCACCCTGGAGGAAAACATCAGCCTGCAAAGGATCTTTGCATGTCAAAGAGCAGTTCTGGCCAGGTGAGCCAGCCAGGTGGGTTTGCTTGCCTCTCACAGCAGCCCAGCAAGTGCAGGAGTCCCCAAGAAAGCAGGCAGAGACCCTCGAGCCCCCTTGGCCCTGTAAAATCCTTGGACTGGGGATGCTGGAGGTGGAAAAGTGGGATGGGGACTCGTGGGGCCCTTCCTCCTCCCCTGTGGAACAGTGGCAGGGTGGTGTCCCGTGGGGGGTCACCAGCCCTTCCCCTGCTGACAGCTCCTCAGCCTTTGTGCTCTGGTCATTTGCTCATTGGTATTGATAGGATGTACTGAGAAACCACAGAGCATTAAACAAAAAGATCAGTTAAAAAGCCCCCCCTTCAGGCAGAGTCCCCTCTTCTTTTAGCCTTATAAAGCAAAAATAGCACCAAAATAATCATGTCTCTGGGGAATGGAGGAGCCATGCACAGCAATTACTGGGAGCCAGTGTGTGTGCAGTCAGAACTCACATGAAAGAGCATGTGATGCTCCTCTGCTGATGGCAGCAGGAGGATGAAGGTGGGAAGAGATGAAAGATTTACTCGACCTTCGTAAAAAGAGCTGTGTCCAGGCTTGAGGCTCTTTAATATTTGATGGGCTGGAGCTGAGTTAATGGGAAGATGTGGGAATGATTTAGCATCTTGGAGCTGGTGACTATTGCACTGATCTTGAAGGTTTGATCTTAGGTCTTGTGAGGACAAGGTCTGGCGAGCAGATTGCATCTAAGTAAATTCCTTTGACTTATTAGCACTTCATAAATGGATAATTGCATGTAAATGTATGTTTTGCAATTATATTTAGCCGGAGAAGCGCATGCAAAGGAAATGGTGTCAGAACTGCTGCAAGCAGCCAGCTGCAGCACACAGGGAGGTTTCCCATCTCCGTGTCTGTGGAACTGCTCCTCTCCATTGCTGATGGGCGTGGAGCCAGCCCAGTGCCAACCTCAGCAATGCCCCCCAGCAGCCTGCCCTGCATGGCTATCCCAGTTCAGAGCCTGGCAGTGCCCCCCTCCTGCCAGTGCCTGGGGAAGGACTGAGCGTGCAGGGCCAGGGTGCAAGGAAGGCTCTGGACTTGCAGAAAACTTTAAACTCAGTTGAAGCCAGTGCTGAGCTGGAGGGCAGAATGAGGCTGGGCTGTGCACCCAGCAGAGTGCAGGAGAGCCGTGGCTGGGCATGGCATGCCAGGCAAAATGAGTCCTTGTGTTGGCAGCAGGTCTGTGGCCGGGTTCCTGCTGGGATGAAGCGCCTTGCAGTGCCAGGGAGCTGCAGGTGTGTGCCCAGGGATGGTGACAGGCCTCTGCTGCTGCCACGGCTGGGGGCTGCCACCAGCCCTGCTCACCATCATCTGCTTGAGTTGCCTGCCAGGATGTGGCAGGGCCATGGTCTGTCCTTCCCCGGCAGCCCGAGGACTGGTGGGAGATTTACAAAATCCAGCCAGTCCCAACGTCTCCCTGCTATCTCTGGCAGGCAGGCGGGAGCGCTTCCCTCTTCGTGGAAGGGCAGTTATCGCCCTGGCTGCCTGCCCACACCCAACCCTGCACCCACACAGCATCCTCCCAGCACATTTCACAGCCTGCCTGGGACAGAGGAAGCTTTCACAGGAGGAGGAAGGTGCTGTCAGCTCTGAGGACTCGCAGTGGTTCAGCCATTTAATCTGGTAAGCCTTAGCTATATAAAATTTCAGGCGGGGGGAATGGGTACTGGCACAGCTCCACTGATGCTCTCCCTTGGTACTTGACTCTATGCTTTCCTCCCAGTGGCCTGGTGTAGATATTGGGTTTATGTGAGGGTTTGTTCCTGCAGAAAGCCCAGGCAGGGAGCAGAGAGGTGGGCTGGGATCAGGCGGTGACGTTGGAGGTGGCGCAGCGGCGCAAGTGCCGCCCCGTCCATATGCTGAAATGTTGTTGTTGCTGTCAGACAGCCTTCCCATATTTAAAGCTAGATTATCCACAATTACATCTGCCCAGAGGACTGAGCAGCCCCACATGGTCTATTTTTAGCTCTGTCTCAGAACTAATAAAGTGTGCTGGTTTTTCCTCCTGCCATATTTATAGCCTGTCAGGCTGGGAGCTGTTTGCAGCCAGAGGGCGGTTGCTGGGAGAGCAGCCACCTTCAGAGAGCAAATATTGTCCTGATGGGTGGAGGGAGCCATGATGGCTGTGGTGGCTGAGCCCCATCTGCTCTGGGTTCACTCCCTGTCTGCAGAGTCACTGAGGTCACCCAGGCAGGGTCTGCAGGGGCTCTTGCCCCACTTGGGTGGCTGCTGGCCTCCCCTCAGCCTGGCCATGCTCCCCCTGGCCTCCCCTTGGCCCTGGCCATGTTCCCCCTGGCCTCCCCTCAGCCTGGCCATGTTCCCACTGGCCTCCCCTCGGCCCTGGCCATGCTCCCCCTGGCCTCCCCTCAGCCTGGCCATGCTCCCCCTGGCCTCCCCTCGGCCCTGGCCAAGGTGGTTGAGATTTGGGGACCGTGAGCAGCCCCGCGTCTGCCGGGCCAAGGAGCCCAGAGCAGGGTAGGCAGTGCCGGCGTGGCAGTGCAGGCATTCTGCCAAAGCCTGTGGTTTGTTCCTGATGATAATTTTGTTAATTACTGTACGCTCCCGCCGGCTGTCGCTTTTCCTGCCAGTTGGCAGGGCCTGGCTCCGGCCGGGCCTGGCAGGGACGGGCGGCCATGGCACCCAGCGGCGCTCCCGTGCCACGCTCCTGCTCTGGAATGGCCCTGTCCACCTCGCCTCTTGCAGTTCCAGTGGGGCTTGTGGTGCTCTCCGTGACCTGTGCCATACCCAAGGAACTCACATCTTCCAAAGACCGTCGTGGAAGCATGGCTCATCTCTGGCTCCCACCCAGAAGAGAAATGTAGAGGCTTGGCAGGTACTTGAATAGGTCAGAGCTATATTCTGGGTCTCTGTGAAGTCTCAAAGGTCATTCCTTTCAGGCACTGTCCTGTCTCGTTCCTCTCAAATGTTACTGGTGTCACACCAGGGACCATGACAGTTCCTTTCTGCTACAACAATAGAGTGTTAATCCTTTCCAGTTTGGAACGCAGAGCCCACTTTCTAAAGCCCTGACAAGCTGATCTGGGTCTCCTGTTCCCAATCATTGATAAGGTTGCACAGTGTGAGGTGATTTGAAGAGGAAGATGATGGGTCTGCAGCTAAAAACTGCTTCATTTTCCATCTTTTCTTATTTGGTGCAAGAGGCAATGAAAAATCTGTAGAGCAACAGAAACCCCTGGATGTGATTGACTTCAGAACGTTCCCTGTAGTATGGATGTGTCAGAGATAATACCTGTGTTTTAGCTCCGCAAATTATATGTCTTTTAATGCTTTCACATCAAACAAGGTGTGTGAGGGAGGCGGGTAATTGAGATGGTGTCATCTCTGCAATAGTGGCTGGGGCCCAGGTGCTGCTGCTGCCGCCCCCTGTGGCACTGGGACCCCCATGCCCCCCTCCCTGCCCACCTCCTCCTCCCACATCCCTTGCAGCTCCCTCGGGAAGGGCACTGCTCCATTGAGGCTAAAGTCTGGGCTAATCCTGAGCTTCCCAGCAGGATTCCAGTGGTGACTGGTTGGCATAAAGGCTCCAGGGATGGTCTTTGCTCTGCACAGGAAGGGCTGGGGCTGAGCAGGGTGCTGGAGGTGCTGGAAGCGTTGGGTGAGTGGCACATGTTAGTGGCTGTGCCTCCAAATCTGGCTTTATTAGTGATGTTAATGATCAATGCTGACATTTAGCTCACTGATTTACTAGTAAAATTCAGAGGATCTGCAAATGCTGTAAAGACTAATTTCCTCTGCTGATTTGATCTAATTTAATTGGATGCTGAAATCTTGGAGCTCATCTTTTCAGGAGGCCTGTGTTCACAGGGAGAAATACCCCAAATTATCAGGAATACAATTTCCATGTAATTGTGCTGCTGTCATGGCCATGACTACCTTGTTCTGTGTCAGCTGTGCTGTGGCTGATGCTGCCCCCAATTGCCACCACACAGCCAGGCTGCTGGGCAGGAAGAGCCCAAAGGTGACTCACTTGGGCTCTCTCAATTACAAAATAGGGTTTGGTTCATAGCCAATGGCACACAATGGATGGGAGAGGTGTATAAGAGACTCCTTGTACCCACAGCTTTCTTTGTTCCTTGGTAAATGAGTCTTGGAAAACAACCCACTCGTGCATTGATGTGTTGATGGCATGGTCAGTATTCCAGGCTGCTGTCACTGGTTGCTCTTGGGTCACTGCTCTTTGGTGGCTTTCTTAAAGTTCTTGGCTACGGCTCAGGTCTTACCCCCTCTGGAGCTGGTCTGGCTGAGTGTGTCTGTCACGCGCAGTGCTCGGTGTCCCCTGCACACCTGCAGCCAGGAGCCTTCACTGGGCTGCCCTGGAGGCTCTGCGCCCTTGAGCAGGGGCGGCCTGGGGGGCACAGGCAGGGGCTGCTCCCAGCACCTTCCTTAGCTGTGCTCCTCAGCATCCCCTCTGCCCAGGGGAGGTGGCAAGACCCACCTGGCCTCAGCTGCTTTCTGCAGTGAGAGTTCTTTTGTGTTTGTTCTTTTGGTGTGGCTTTGACCACTCTTTCTGCCTTTGACCACTCTTTGACAACTCTTTCTTTTTGCTCAGGAGGGCTGGAAATTGTGCTGGGGAAATGGATGCTCCTGGGCCCTGCTTGGCCACAGCCCAGGCAGAAGGCTGATGCTGGAGTGCACTTGTCACAGGGATGGGCTCTGGACAGGGCCAGCCCACCCCTGTGTGCTCCTCCTTGAGCTCAGCAGGTACATTTCTCCTTTCTTGCCCTTCAGCTCTGCTCTCTGTACAGGAGCCACAGTGCTGGGGCACAGGGACCGTCAGGGCTGGGGCACTGCTGTGCTGGGGGGCCTTGCCAGCGTGTGGGGTGGGAGCTGGGGCTGCCCCATGCCTTGGCACATGGTCCAGTCTCTCAGAACTGACGTGGTGTCGGGGTGGCTGTGGCGTGTCACACCCGTCTCACACCATTTTGGGGAGATGGGCTCACTGTGCTCTGTCTCTCACTGCCTGCATGCAAGAGCTGGCTCTGTGCTTTCCTGGGATTGCCTTCATGTCTTTCTAACTGAAGCCATAAAATAAATTTCTAATCAGATTACTTGGGGCTGGATGTAATGTAATCTAAAGCTCTATTTCTTGTGATACTTCTGTAAAAGTGGATGCCCTCTTATCCTCCTCCTGCAGCACCAATTGAAGCACTATAATCGCTTTCTCCCTCGTTTGCAAGCTCCCAAATCCATTTCTGCCATGCCAGGGAAATTGGGATGTGACTGCTCCTTTGCAGGGAAGCAGTTTCTATTTTTGGGGTTTGGGCTGTGTTGCATTGTCTCCTTTTGTTCCTCTCTGGCTCCCAGTCCTTGGTGCTGGTGCAGCTGCCCCATCTCAGCTCTCCCACCTGGGCAGGGCAGGTGTCTGTGCTCTGGGGCTCTGGGCGAGTGCCTGGGCAGTGGGGAAGGGTCCCAGGGTGGTGGGGAAGGGCCTGGGCAGATCTCTGGGCTCTCCTCAGCCCCTGAGCTCAGGCAGGCTGGGCTGGCCGTGCCTCCAGCCCGGCTGTGGCAAATGCCTGGCATAGCTTGTGTATTTCTGGCACTGTCCCTCGTGAGGGAATCAGAAATATCTCCTGCCCAGGGAGGCACGGAGGGCGACAGGGACATGTCCTGCACTGTCGGATGAGGCAGCACCACAGCTCTGGCCAGAGAAGCCCTGAGTCACCAGAGCTGGGCTCAGCTGTGGCTGCAGCTCAGGTGAGAGCAGGGGGCTGAGGCAGACTGATGGGCTGCTCACCTATGGGGGCTTCATCTCACAGCAGCATCTATACAAAAGCCAAAGTTAGTACATAAATTAATGGCTTCACAATAATATTGATAGTGTCATTTATTCATGGCAGATCCAGTACTCCTAGGGATAAAGGCTCAGTCTTGTCCCAGTCTGGCCTTTTCAGGTCCTTCTCTCCCAGCAGAGTGTCCAGACGGCTGCCAGGTGATGAGTTAATCACCGTGTGTAATTGTCCTGACCTGTCCTGCGCTCCCTCCAGCCCCTCAGGCTTCCTAGCTCACTGCCAAACTGCTTTGTCTGGAGCAAAAATGGCAGGGCACTTTTCAAGGGATATATATTTCTTCAAAAAACAGGGGCAATTGCTTAGCCTGGAGGTAATTTAGTCACTGACAGGGTGGTACTGGTGTTTTAAAGGAAGGATGGAGGCTTGGAATGTCTTGAGCTGCAGCATTCTCCCTTAGGAGATGTCCTTTGGGACATCTGGAGAGCTTCTGGGGGTGCTGGCCCTGACAGGGCATTCCTACTGCAAACAGCCAGGAAGGCGATGGATGCTTGGTGGCATCACTGCAGGAGCAGGAGGCGGGATGGAGCTGGAGGGGGTGAGGCATGGGGAGGACAGGCAGGGCAGGAGCTCTCAGCTGCACCAGCCCTGCCACCTTGAGTGCCTGCCCTGTCATCTGCCCTCTCCATCCTGGAGCAGCTCCCGGGTGCCAGAGCCACACAGGGCAGGTTCTGCAGGGCCTGGCTCAGCCAGAGGGGATGTCCTGTGGGGCAGCAGGTCCTGGCTCCTTTCCCTGTGTGAGCCTCCAGCCCCCCCAGGAGCCCATAGCCCACAGCCCACCTCAGCCCTCACCATCTACTGCCTTGCCCTCAGGCTATAAATTACAGATCAGCTGCAGTGAGTCCAGATGCTGCTATCCCCTGTGGGCTGGGCCCTGTTTGGGTGGAGAGGGAACCTGAGTTTCTGCTCAGTGTTTGTCTATTTCCAAATAGCACAGAATTGAACATCTTTAAAAATCAATACAAAGCCACTTCAGCATAAACCAAGAGGAGATTAATACTTAGCTTGTCTGGAAAAGGGGAGGAGAGATGTGGAAAATGTCTCCAGAGAGGGAGACTCAATGAAATTCGAATCTGCCTGTTTAATGTGAGAGCTAAAAGATTTAAAATTAACCCCCTCCCCCTCCATTAATTGGAAATGAATTTGTGAATTTGTGTAATTTGGCACAGAAATAGGATCTAATTCTTTTTTTCTGTGCCTGAGGAATTTGTCAGACTGATAGCTTCAGCTTGGAGGAAAGCTGACAGGTATTTTCTGCAGGAAGAGATCTGTTGATCCATCAAAGACGTTATTGAAAGGCTTGGCAGTGCAGGTTAGCACCCAGGTTTAGCAAGATTCATTCCTCTTACCAACTTATGTATTCTCACCACCACTCAGAGTCTGGCATCATCTGATGTTGTTCTGAGGAGACAGAAATGCATTTTGGAATTTTTGGAGAATGAGTTGGACTTTTTCCTGTGGGGAAGTGGGTACCTTAAAACTTGTCTGCTGGAATCGCTGCTGCCTCAGTCTCCCCAGGGACCTCGAGATCTGGTGAAACACAGAAATACTGATCTTGGGTTTCAATTTGGGTCTTGGCTCTCTGGAGTGCTCCATGTGCACGGTGTAGGTCGGGATGGGTGCTGTGGTGACACTGAAATGCTCCCTGGCTCATCTGGGGTGAATTCATGTGGTGTGTTAAAAATAACATCACACCTGCTTTTATCTGGCTTACAGTAGGATACAGAAAGAGATAACAGCAGTGATAGGGGTTTTGTTATTGTGGCATTTAAGGAATCCATCGGATTAGAGATTCTGCTGAAACATTTAGACAGAGAAGGCCAGAGCTGAGGTTGTGTTGATCTCCTTAAGGCTGGAAGGCAAGAGGGGACAGGCAGGGGCGGTGGGTGAAGCAGGAGTGTCACAGGCAGGCTGGGGCAGCAGGAGCGGCTGCTCCCTGCCAGATGTGCTCTGTGGCCTCTGCAAGCTGTTTCTCCTGAGCAAACACATTTATTACAGGCTTTGCCAGGGGAGCCCCATGCTTTGTTAATGATTGACTGCCCCAGCTGGGGGTTTCCAGGCAGCTCCTGCTCTGTGCTGGGCTCTTGCTCTGTGCGTGGGGAGCAAGGGGCCTTTCTGGCCGTCCTTCCGTGGGAGTTGCTCAGGTCCTGCTGGAATGGATGGTGGATGTACTTGCCTGCAGCCTGTGTGTGCCCCCCAACAGATTCCTGCTTGTGGCAGGGTCCCCCCAAAACCCTGACCTGGCTGTGGCACTTGGAGCTGCCCCAGGGCCCCTGCACCTGTGTGCCACTGCCAGGGAGGCCCTGCCCTCCCTGCTCTGAGGCCAGGCTGGGTGCACCAGCCCAGAGCAGTGGGCTGGACCAGCTGCAGGAGCAATGTTTGACTGCTCCCAGTGGCTGCAGGGGTACTGAGAGCCGGCAGGTTTGGGCAGGTGCCTGTGTCCTGTCCTGTGCTGGGTGGATGTTCTCATGAATGGTCCCACACCTGCTGGCAGCAGGGATGGTGCTCCATCCCTTGGACTGGGAAGTAGCTCAAAGTGCTGTAGCTTGTCCTGTGTCTAATTCCTGTGAAAATTGAACCGGTAGAGGAGAGAGGTGAGATAAGGGGGGCAGAGGGACCTGGGTGTTTTATCACCATGGCAACAAGGACTTCCAGGGAAAGGTGCTGAAGTGAGAAGTAGATAATTTACAGTTTACTTAATAAAAAAAAGAATTCATTTCCTGGAGGGAGCTGTGTGTCAGCTCCCGGTGTGAGGGACAGGCTCGAGGCCCCGTGCTGTCCCGGTGCCGCAGCCCGGGCTCGGGGGGAGGGATGGCAGGGCCGGGCCGGGACCAGCCGGGAGCTCCCGCGGGTTTGCTGCGGTGAGAACCCGTCTGTGGGGCAGGAGCGAGTCCTCCCTCCCTGGGGGAGCTCCTGCGCTGGCGCTTCGCCCCTTGAGGAGCCCGGGCTGCGGCAGCCGGGAAAGCCGGGAAAGCCTCGGTACCGGGGTGCCCGGGGCTGTGCCGCCGACCGTCCGCTCCCCCGGCCCGTGACGTGCTCAGAGCCCCGCCCGCCCGCAGCCCGGCCCGGGGGTGTCCGGGGGTCTGCGGGGAGGGGGCAGAGCTGCCGCCATTCCGCAGCCGCTCCCGCGGGGCTCCGCTCCCGGCCCCGCGCTCGTTACCGGCCCCGCGCTCGTTACCGGCGGCGCGGGGCGCGCGCGGGGCGGCGCGGGGCGGGGGCGGTCGCGGCCGTGGACGCGCCGCCGCCCCCGCCGGTGCCGGCGCTCGGTGGCGGCGGCGGCGGCAGCGGCGATGTCCCGGGCGGGCGGCAGGACGCGGTCCCGGCGCGCGGGGGTGCGGGCGGCCGTGGTGCTGATCGGGCTCCTGCACCGCTCCCGGCAGAGCAGCGAGAGAAGGTGACGCCGCGGGGAGCGCTCGGTACCGTGGGCCGGGCAGAGCCGGGGGCTGCGGGGGGACGCGGGGCCGGCGGCGGAGGGAATTACCGGGCGGGGGTGCCCGCGGCGGCACCGGGAGCTGGAAACAGGCACCGGGATAATCGTGACCCGCTCGCGAGGCGCGCCGTGTGCCGGAGCGGTGCCGGGGAGCAGGGGCCGGCACCGGTGACCGCGACCCGCTCGCGGTGTGCGGGGTGCCGGGAGCCGCGCACCGGCCCCGCTCGGTCGGTGCGTGTGTGTGCAGGGGCCGCACCGGGCCAGGTGAGCCCCCGCTCACCGGGAGGAGCAGCGCGGTGCTCGGGGGGCTCCCGTGCGGTTCTGCCGTGACTCGGCCCCGCAGCTTTGTCTGCGGCGGGAACAGCTGACAAACGGTTTCATCTTTCATTGCCGAGCCATGGGCTGTACTTGGTGCTCAACTTTGTGCCGTAGGAATGGCCGGTTCGCAGCGCTCCGCGAGCTGGCATCTGCTCCGCGGGGCCGCT